TTGGAAAGTCTACAGACTCAGTTAAATCAAATAGTCAGGACGATAGAGGATGGATCCTATTCACTTAGAACATTCCTGGATATGGAACGAGACGTTTGATAATGCAACCCTTGAATCAGCCCTTGATTCAGCGCTTGAATCCATGCGTTCATCTTTTTTCGAGCGTGGCGGAATTTGACACTAACTTGCCAAGTCGGTTCGGGCGACGACAGTATTTAGTTGGAGGCAATAACACAGTACCCAAGAAAAAAACACATATAACAATCAAAATACCACACAATCAGTATCATTTATGATCACAATACTAGAAAAACAAAAACTGAACTGAATCGTCGATTGGTTCATACCAAGTGACGGTGCTTTTAGTCGATCGCTTTATTGTTGGAAGAGACCCAAAGTGCATATTGTGGCGAGGTTTTTGTACGTAATAAAGTACTTTATTCATGGAGATAGAATGAGAGGAGGGAAGATAGTTTGAAAAAGTGCCTGGTACCGCGCTTTCGACTAGGGTCATAATGGGGCCTGTCTAATTTGCAGACCACTGTTTATCTTGCAGGCGGGGGGTTAAAAATACGCCAATCAAGTCGAAACTCGACATTTGCTTATTTTTCAATACGATCATTGTTGACACAAAATTTTAACCCGTTCGCATAAACCCTTAAAAATTACCCTCAAAACGGACTTGCAGACAGTGGGTTAAAATACGATTTGTGTTTATTTTTTTTACCAGGATTTTTGGTGCAAAATTTCAGCCCGTTTGGAGGAACCTTTCAAAACCACCCCCAAAACAGACTTGTAGACTGGGGGTTGAAAATACTCCAATCAAGTCGAAACTCAATATTTGCTTATTTCTCAATACGACGATTGTAGATGCAAAATTTCAACCCGTTCGGTGAAACCGTTTAAAACTACCCCCAAAACAGCCAACAGGATAAACCCTAATCACAGGACAAACGAAAATATAGAAATATATTGTTACGTAATTAAGAAATCAACATGGGTAAAACTCAACAATTTATTTCTTAGCGACTCGAATTTACACGACTCATTACTGAGCGGTTATATACAAAATAATTCCGACTGGAATGGATTTGCCAGTGTCTGCTCTCGACATTGGTTCCTATTTAAACAGCCGCTCGGTCCTTCTCGAAAGTCTCAGTCACCGTTTCTAGGCTTGTTCTAAAACACCCATCGCGGCATCCCCTTCCAGACTTTTCTTTAGCGAACGCCGTCCGGCCGCCGTCACCAACGATGAGTCAGCCATCATCGCCGCACATACATACTACAAAACCCATAGGCGTCGTACCCGGCGTATGGGTTTATTTCGTAACAATATATACAGTGACAAAGTTCCTTTTGTATACAATAAAATTGTATGATAGTTTAAGCCAGTTAACATCACAGCGGTTCATACCCACCATAATTTGCAATTTTTAAACCAGACAAGACAAGTAGAAGACTAGTAATCCGAACGGTTTTTAGCTACTTTTCTTCTGGTTGAATAAAAGCGACGCATGCCAAGGCGGTGAAACACTCAGTGGGTGAACAGCTTAGCCAACCCCTCGTAATGACATTCTAAAATTTTATTGTATACAAATCGAACGTTTTTAGTATACATGGTGAGTATTATAATAATGGAACCCTGACGAAATTTCAATGCAACACAAAATACATATCGCCTATGTAACTCTTTGTATATTTTATTTTTCTAAAATGTACAAACATAGTTACCTAGAAGTTAATTTTGACTTTCGCAATAATTCTATTTGTCACTTTTGAGCTGCGATAAGTTTTTAATCTACGCGATAAGATGGGGGTTAAATACACGAACGATGAAAAGGTTGATATGATTTTGATTTTTGGAAAATGCGGAAAAAATGCCGCAAAAAATGCAGCAAATCTCTACGAAAGAAGATATTCTGATAGGCGACATTCATCCAACCAAATCTTTAGATGTTTAGAAAAAACGTTAAGACAAAATTGGCCGAAAGAAACAAGAGGACTTACCGCTACTGGTATAGAAAATGAAATTCGTGTAATCGAGGCCGTAGACAATGACCCGCCTGTGAGCTAAAGATTTTATACCAAAGTCCTATCCGTAATTTTGAAGATTTAAAAACCGGAATTAGAAATGCATGTGCTGCAATAACTCCTGAAACACTTGTCCGTGTCCGGTTGTCTTGCTTAAATCGCATCGAAATGTGTGTTGCGCAGGAAGGAAGGCATTTTGAAGAGTGCTTGTGCTAGTTAAATTAATTTAATTGTTCAATTTATTTATTACATTTCTTTGAATTAATATGTTGGTGTTTTTTTAATATTTCATTTGTGAAATTTTAATTGACGTCTTTCAACAACAGTGACAACTAATAAGGAGAGTACCTACGTTGATCCTAAAAACGTATGTGTTAACAAAGTTACATTTATCCCGATTAAGTTTTAGACCGTTTTGAGTATACCATACACTAATTTTGTCCAAATTCAATTGTAACTCTTTGGCATCTTCAAGATTCATGACACGAGAGAAAACTTTAAGGTCATCCATCAGCAAAGGCAAGCGAGTTGCAATTTGAACTTGAAATCAGGTCATCAATATATAATACGAATAACAGGGGGGTCAAATTTGAACCTTGAGGCACCCCAGAAGTTGATACATATTCACTGGATTTAAAACCATTATAGAAGACGTAGTTTATTCTTTGCGAAAGATATGAATCAATCAGTCTAATGAAAGATGTCGCAAGACCAAACGCATTGAGTTTATTCAATAATATCTTGTGATCAACCGTGTCAAAATCGGAACTGAAGTTGGTATATATAACGTCTATTTGACCTCCTCTATCCAGTTCTTCAGAAATAAACTGTGTGATAGTTATCAGATTGGTTGAGGTGGATCTACGTGGCATTAGTACTAGTATAGTGCACTATTAGATTTGCTTGAAAAACAAAATTGTGGGTATATAGGTATATAAATACTTCAACCATCGATAATAATTAGGCAAATATTAAGTTTCGTCTTGATAGGAATATTTTTAGGCTCAGTCTGTAAGATTGTTTCGGAGTAGTATTTAGGGGTTGCCTAGGAAAAAATGAAAAAAAAAATCAACACTCTTTGTATGTAAAAATAAACAAACGTCAAGTTTTCATTTGAGTTTTACTTTAATCGGAGTAATTTTAACCTCCAGTCTACAAGGCTGTTTTGGGAGTGGTTGTTAAGGGTTCCTTTGGAAAGACTGAAATTTCGCATCATTAATCCTCGTATTAAAAAATAAACAAATGTCGAGTTTTGACTTTATTGGAGTATTTTTAACGTCCAGTCTGCAAGTCTGTTTTGGGGGTAGTTTTTAAGGGTTTCTAGGACCGAATTGCAATTTTGCATCAACAATCTTCGTATTGAGAAATAAGCAAATGCCGAGTTTTGACTTGATTGGAGCATTTTTAAGCCCCAGTCTGCAAGTTTGTTTTGGGGGTAGTTTTAATAAGGGTTTCTCCAAATACCCTAAAATTTGGTGTCAGCAGTTCTTGTGTAGATAAATAAAGAAGAACCAAATTAGGGCGTGGTTCAAACATTTTTATTTGCCAGTCTCCAAGATAAACTATGCTCTGGAAATTAGAAACGCCTATTTCTTGGATATTCTCCATAATTTAAAATTGTGTTCACTTGTTCATCAGCCCAGTAGCACATGATTGCTCCTCCCTTTTTTCACAACAAGATGTAAAAACCACCAGAGAAATTATATTTCTAACCAAGGTTCTAACATTCTAACATACGATTTTTGTTAACTCATAAGAAATGCATCTCCACAAACTTAATTACCACATAGAACAAGTATAGTCGAATAAGAGAGCAGCTGATTTTTCCACCATTGCATTGCAGGTTAACAAAATGAACTCTCTCAGTTAAGATACCTCTAGCGTCGGCTGTGGGTCAAAAGCCTCTTTTGAACTTTGTCAATAATTTCTGGCATGAAGGCAGTTTTTGGTCCTCCAGAATGTGATACATTTTCAACGGATATTCTACCGCGCTTAAAGTTATTAACTCAAAGGCGAATGGCTTCATAAGAAGAATATAAATCGCCCATTGAAGGCAGAATCCTTGGATTTCTTTCGCTGTTTTCCCTTCCAAAAATAAGAACTGAATTATACTACGAATTGCAATTTTTTCCTCTTTTAAATAAAAGCATAATAAAAGTCACTCGACACATTAGTACTCACTAAACGAAAAATTATTGAGAGAATGACTTGACATTATAGAAATGTCTTCAATAGGAACTCAACTTCAAGTCTACGTATGCAATAACTAATTTTCGTCTTTCGCCCTCCAACCTCCAAGACGATGCGAACCGATTGATTCATCAAATCATCGTAAGTCTTCCCGATTGAACCGGCTCTCAAACAAAATAAACCGCTTTGAAATCGGTCCATCTGTTTTGAGAGCTACGGTGCACCAGAGACACACAAACATCAGCTGATGGTCTTGAAACGATTGAAGTGATTATCGTAATATCGTCAAACATAACCAAGAACCATGCCGGGTATGTCAGCTTTCAACATTCAAAACACCGCATTGAAATTGGTTCATCCGTTTAGGAGTTACGGTGGGAGAGAGATGGATCAAAATTGTAACACCCTTCTTTTTCAATCGGAGGTTAATAATTAATTCAAAACAAAATTAAATTTGAAAAGGGTGTGTATCATAGAAAAAAAAAAGGTGTGTATGGTTGGTTGCATCAAAAGTTCTTCAAGGTCGTACCACAGTATATAGACTTTATGAAACGTTCTGTATGTAAAAACTACTCTGTAACATTCTGATTTTGAGACGTTTACAGGATTCCTTTTTATTAATGCAGATGAAGAATACGCCATACACATATCTATCACCTTATTTGCTATCTACTCTAGCAAATCTAGTTTAACATCCCCAAAAATTCCATAACTCTAATATTTAGCCAATAAATGCAGAACTTAAATAACTGCATTATATAAAATAAAACAATAAAACATTTCAACGTGTAATAAATTTTATTAGAACAAATAAAGTACATATAAAATCTTTATCTAAAACGCCAAACTTACAAAAATAGTGTCAAGCATTTAATTACATCCAACGGCATTTGTCTAAAGGTTCACTTAGAATAAACACATTCACCGGCAATCCATGTTGATTGGAGTTCAAAATCATCATTCAATATAATAAAATCCGCATCAGCACCATAATTCAGCGTTCCTTTTTCTTCTTCAATTCCTAACGCTCTAGCTGGATGTAAACTCGCCGCTTCTAAAGCATACTCTTTTGAGCAACCTGCAAACAAATATAACTGTCCATACAAAAACATTAATAAAGAATTATTACCTGTTGACTGCAAAAAACATTTAACACATTCAATCATGGGGGCTATACTTCCACATAATGTATCAGTATTGGCAATATACGCTCGTCCACTTTTAACTTCGATCACAAATTGTCCCAGATTATAATTACCTTCGGCAAGACCTAAGGCAGCAATTGCATCTGTAACTAAAACTAAACCCTCTGGATGTACTCTGTAGGCAATCCTTAAGGCGGCAGGATGTGTATGAACACCATCAGCAATTATTCCAAAATAAACAGTCTTATTTGAAGGAATTTTATTAGAAGTTAGGAGACCAACTAGGCCAGGATCACGATGATGGAACTAGGATTAAAAAAATTACTATCAAGTTGCAAACTCCCAGAAGTAAATTACTGGCAACATTGCATTGAATAAGTGTGTTATGAGAGTGGCCCCACTTTTGACAGCTTGTTCACCTTGCACCAAGTTAGCAGTGGAATGTCCTATAAAGAAAGTATTCATACAACTTTACTACCTTATTTTATGTATGTCGTACCAACAGAAACAGCAATTCCTTTAGAACACAGTTTTTTAATAACTTCATCTGCATTTTTCAGTTCTGGAGCTATGGTGATTATTCTTACATTGTCTAAATTTCCATAGACTTCTTGCACTGTGGTAAAGCCCTATAAGGATAATGGTATTAAAATTTCTTATCAATTGCATTTTCAATTTTGTTATACTTTTTCAAAAGCCCTGATACAATCTGGTGGATGGGCACCCTTCTTTTCCACATTGATAAATGGGCCCTCAACATGTAGTCCTAAGATAGTAGCACCATGTTTTCCACCTGCTTTTTTCTTAATACGAGAAGTAATCTTATGATAGAATTCTACTGGTGAAGTAACAATTGTGGGGCAATAGGCAGTCACTCCATGACTTAACAGATTCTTTGAAACAAGATCTAACCCTGCATCGAGATTATCAACATTGAAAGAAAAATCATGTCCAAAACCACCTAAAAAAATTCAACTCATCAACAACTCACATTACAAGGGAATCATAAATACCATTTATTTGCAACTCAATAAAACCAGGTGCAATAATACACCCCTGACAATCTATTTTCTTGGAGGCTTCAACTTTTTCATCAAAGAAAACCTTTTCTGGATTAACTATTTTCCCAGATCTTACCCACAAATCTTCGGTTATAATCTCATGGTCTCTAAGAATTTTGCAGTTAACAAACTGGACTAGTTCTGTGTCTTTCATACTTTTATCTTGACGTGTAAAATTGGTCGAAAGTATTACGCTCCCACCATCAAACTGATTATTTTACTTGTGAATTGTGAAATAGTAATAAATTGAGGTTAGGTTATCGGGTCCTTGAACTGATTAGAAAAATTAAGCAAACAGTAATAATATCCTGTGAAACCGCACCAATAACAGATTGTCGATAACATTTTTTTTTTAACAAATAATCGATTTTGTTGTCTTACGTATCACATTATTGGTAATGTATTGTGGTTGTTTTGGTTTGACGTGTCAACGGTGTCAACGTCAACAGTGCCAGTGGCGTAACAAATATTCGGTAAAAAACACATACAACCAAGGAGGAAGCAATATAAAGTCCACGCCATTCCGATAGTTTTTGAGAAAACGTTGTAAAAAATCAAAAACACTTCGAAAATCTGCTATTGAGTCTACGATCGTTAGAAGTTAGGTATAACCGCGTTTGTCCCCCGCGGCAAACTTCAAATTTAATGCTACGGTGTTGTCGGTTGTATTTTCAAGGTAGAATGAATTGTTTAGTTTTTTTTTTTAATTTTGGCAAATAGTATAGCTGTCCACTACCTAGCGTAAATTTAGAAAAATTGCTGGATGTAAGGTGTTTTTGCACTTATTAAATTCCTAAAATCATCCGGGAGTGTTCATGGGCAACCAATTTAATTTAATGTAACTCTAAAAGTTGTCCAACTCTCATCTTTTAACGTTAAGTACTTATAATGAACTAGCTGACCCCGTGAACTCCGTTTCACCTACAATTTAATTTTGAATCTGCAAAATCGAATGCTTTGAAATCTTGCAGATGTTTTAAACATATGATAAGCATAATAAATTTTTATTCAAAATATATTTACTTATCCCCTCCAAAAAATTGATGACGTCAGCCCAAAATTTTGCCAAATGAATCCTATCTAAAATGCCCAAAATAGGATGAGACTATACTTGTGATTTATCATTCCATTCATATTTTTTAGTTTTGCTTATAGGGGGTGTCTCAAAAAAATTAATCACTGAATCAATTTATTTTATTGATTGAATCAAGAATTGCAAAACTGAATTTTGAAATATTGCAGACGTTTTGAAGTAACTGTTTGACATGGTAGGTTTTCAATCAAAATATATCTGTTTATCAAGCCCAAAAACTTGAAGACGTCATCTCAAGATTTTGCCGAATAAATCCTATCTAAAATGTGGAAAATATCATCAGTATATTTTCGTAATTTATCACTGCATTCATATTTTTTAGATTTGCTTTTACAGTGACTCAAAAAAATATATGGATTTATTTTAGTGAATAACTCAAGAGTTGCAAAAATGAATACTTTGAGATCTTGCAGACGTTTTAAAGTTATTGTAAGCATGGTAAATTGTTAAGAATATTTATTTATTCCCCCCAAAAAATTGATGGAATGGCTCACTCGATTTTCGCAGATAATTTTGGGAATACAATACAGTTATTTTTAGTATTACAGTGCACCAATCCAAGGTGGTATACCTACGTGTTGATAGTAAATGTTGATTAGGTCATCACAAAATTGTGTGAAGAAAAGACTCAACTCGAAAATGCTGAATATGTTTCATTATACTTTTGGTGCGAAGGAAGTTCTGTCGAAACCACGTTCGATCAATTTTTTGACGATGGTTGATATAAATAAAACTCAGTAGATGCTCATACTCGAAATACGAAGTATCTACTCGAATATCAAATCAAAATATTTCTAGTTTTTCTAGATGATACTAATACTTCAGTAAGTAACAGTTGATGCTCAAGTAGCATCTCGATACAACAAAAAAGGACAACAGTGCCAGTGTTCAACCATCAAGGCAAAAATCGAGTCACCAAAATATAAGTTAGTATGGGGTAGACACCTTGAGATGGGAATCTCTATGGCCAGTGTTAGAAAAAACGCACTGCACAATTTATGCATAAATAAAAGTTAATTACATGAAAAGTTTTCGATATTTCTGCTCCTAATGTGTTTTTCAAACTGAATGCACCTTTTGACGACGTTCCACATTCATGAAAGTCACCATGTTTAGTTAAAATTCACTCTTACAACGATCCTACTGGTTTTCTAAGCTGCTTTACAGACAGCTCAGTTATTTGCCACGCCGATGCTCATTTCTAGATTAAATGCTCACAAAACGCGTAGATGTTCAGTTTGTGTCCGGGGAGATACAATGTTTCCCAGTGGGTAGTCAGTACATAGAGTAGATGCTCAGGTATATAAGAGTAATAATGAAGTAGGTACTTCGTACTTCGAATATGAGTATCTACTCAGTTTTATTCATACCACCCAATGTCTCGCTTCAATGTTTGACTATTACGTTGATTATGAGCACAACGCTGATCAACTTCCATATCCGATTTACCCATGAAATAAATCAATGCGGTTTGCACCTGAGGTAGTTCGTCTCACATTTGATTCGTGGACCTATGTGAGGTTGTCGTCTTCTCGGCATTTTAATGAACTTCATAAAACGACACAGAATTATTTTCACAGTCAATCAAATCTGTAAATTTTGTCTTGAGAATTTTAAAATATTGAAAACTTCAAATTAAATCCTCGAATAACGGTAAAGTTTGAGGTGTTGTCGAAACCAACAAAGTGAATATAGGTAAATAGAATGGCAGATCAAAATGAATAAGAAACTTTCGCAATGTGTAATTAAATTCACTTTAACCAAGACTTTTCTTAAAATAAACGACGTTTTTTTTTTACGAAAAAACAAAGAACGATTTCAAATGCAATATACTTTTCACAATCGCACGGAAGAATTAGTTTTGTATGACACGTCAATTAGACGACAGGTCCGTCAGAAACGCCAACTATTGAAAGTAATTCGAAGTGGCGATTCCCATACAAAATTTTTAGAATTTTTTAATTTTTTACTGTTCTTTTAAGTTATCCTTATTTTTTTTATTTATAAAGCATCCCCGTAATATAAAAAATGTTTCAAATCGGTCAAGCCGTTTTTGAGTCTTAGCGAGACTAATAGGAACAGCAATTGATTTTTATTTTATAGATGATTAATAAATGGGGGTTGGGGGTAGAAAGGTAAAAACTTAGGGTTATGTGTATTTTTTGATGCCAAATCTTAAAAAAGTAAAAATAAAAAAATTTGTCAAAAAAATAGACAAAAATTTTTTAGGGTGGGCCACCCTTATCACTTAGGGGTTTAAAAAATAGTTTACCGCCTATTGTCAGACCTACCGAATAGACATAAAAAATTTCATACAAATCGGTCTACCCATTTCGGAGAAGTTCGGTTACAAACATTGTGACGCGAGAATTTTATACATAATGCATTATTATTTTAGAACAAATTTCATTACCATAAAAAAGGTTATACTGACTCGACCTTAAAAGATAGACATATGCTGTCGCGGACTTTTCTTTAGAACTTTTAGAGGGGAACAATTTCGTCATACATGATTTTTACGTAACTTTAACCGTTTAAGCAGCGTAAGCAACGGAAGCTGTCAAAGGAGGAATAATTTTCCCGTTTTTCCGAATTTTTCATTGCTACTTCGCTCCTAATGATCGTAGCGTGATTTTATATAGCCTATATGTAGATATGATACATGGACTATCCAACACAAAAAGATTTTTTGAATTTGAACCAGTAGTTTCTGAGATTAGCGTGTTCAAATAAACAACAGCTTCAGCTTTATTATATAAGTATAGATTCGTAACTGTCGGGAGTCCATATAGTGGGTATATACTTATGCCAGCAAGACCCTAGAAACGAGTTTAAATTGTATTTGATTCTGACTGAGTGAGAATACCGTTTCTTTTGTGGCAAAATTACTCGTGTTAATGCGACTTAACTTGATTCTAATAAAAAATCTGTTCTGTGAAGAACAATTAATTACTTGGGTCATAGAAAATTACAAATACAGTTTTCGAAACGCTTTTAATTTTTCATGTAATGCGGTTTTTCCTCTTAAAAGAACGAGGTACTTTTTACAAAATGTGATGGAGGCCGTTTGAAGAAGCTGTTCAAAACCCTGAAGAAAATGTGTTTGACATTCGACATGAGATGTGAAATCTACAATCCACCGGTCCCAGTTCTTCGCCAGTTAGATCTAGACATTACTTACAACCGGACGCTAAGCAAATTGTTTTAAATGTGTTTAATACTCTGAGGTAAGGAGGGGAGTGTAATAATGAACAACTTATTTTAAAGAAACATTAACGTTAACGAAAGTTCCATATATTACCATCTAGCAAATTGTTAATGCTGGTATTTTTCCAAGAAAAATTAGAAGCGACTAAGCTGTTTTCCGCGAACTGAAAATGGAAGAACATGCTCGCCTTGTAAGAAAAAACATTTACAAAATCAAAACAAGAAAACGTTAAGAAAATTTTGTATAAGAATTGGTTTCAATTATCATGTTCCTGACAAGCGAGCAGTTTTTAAAAAAATCGAGAAAGATTAGTGAGTGACGTTGGAAATGGTTGGAAACCATAAAAACGCTACGTGAAAGTAATAATTAATAAACCAATCATTTACTTTGATGAAACATGGTACGACAGACATGATACACAATTAAGAAAGGTTGGGTGGACAACAGCAGTAACTGTTGTAAATGTTCCATGGTCAAGAAGACAGAGAATAATTATTATTCTCTACGCTGGTCCCGAAATGGTTAGGTGAATAATGTTTTCTTTTTATCAGTTAAATATGTAAAAGATTACAAAGTCAACTATCACGACGAGATGTCTGGGGAAGTATTCTTCAAGTGGTGTCGCGAATCACTTATACCAAATTCACCTTGTGAGAGTGTGATAGTTATAGATAAGGCGAGCTATCATTCGGTACAAATTAATAAAATTCCAAACAGTATTTCCCGTAAAGATGAAATTATGAATTTCCAAGACGATAATGATTTATACTTCGAACCAAGGTACACAAAAAAGCAATTCTTGGAGGTTCTACGTACCAGAGAGTATGAAAAACATTATGAAGTTGATGAAGAAGCCAAAAAACATGGACATGGATTGCGAATTTAATCCGATGGATGCGACGAAATAATCTAAATCCAAAATTTAGTACTGCAACGGTTGGTATTATTAAAGAACAAATCGAAACAATCTCCGAGGAAGAATGGGCTAATTGTGTTCGACTGAAGTTACAGACCAGTTCATAAAATTCATATATTTCTAGCACAACTTTACAAATAACTTTTGTCCACTTATAAATGAAACAACGCTTCATGTGTCTGTACGTAAGTGAAGAAAAGTGTTGCGGCCCCGGTGGGAATACAACCACACGTTTCTTCTTGTCGGGTGGGTGCCCTGACCACTAGACTACAACGCGGCTTATCTTTCTTCGCTTACTGCTACCTATTATTGTGTCGCCACAGAAATCTTCATTAAAATAAGCCTATTTGAAGGTAACGACTTTCATCCTTCATCATACTAGTTATATCCTTGCTTAGTTTTTTGATAAATGCAAACCTTGGACCAAGTCATTAATTCCTCACTGTTCGACAGTTCCTCAAGTAATCTTTATCGTTTGGATGTATATCATTTCGTTCTTCTTTCAATACCTACGTTTGGATACGTTGGTACTTGAACAAACGAGGTAGTGGAACTGGGATAGAAAATCTTATTTTTAGCAGAAAGTAAGTACAAAGAATCTAGTACACCACCGTAAGTTGCAGTCCTTCGTATGATATGTTTGTTAGCCACTAATCATTAAACTGCAAACGGTATAGTGCTGGCAAATAGAAGTCGCAGATCTAACTTTTAATACTGTAATAGGATTACCATAAAACTATGAACTTCGGTTAAATAATGTTGATTACCCTTCCATTTATGAATAAATGTATGCACAGGAGCGAGTTGAAGATGGGTTAAGCGAAGAAGCATTGATAATAGGGTCAAACCACGTACAAAGAAAATAGTGAAAGGGTAAATATTATGTAACGGAAGTTCATACTTCTATGGTAATCCTATTGCGGTTTTGAGTTAGGGCTGCCAGTTCTGATTGCCAGGGCTATACAGCAGTGGGTTTACCATTGAAATGGCACCTTTAACGTAATAGACTACAGAGGCTTATACAAAGGCCTTCCAAATATTATAAATTAGTAGACTTGTACAGGTTATGTTCGAAAAATAAGTTGTTTGAATTAAAATCTGTATGAACAAATATTTTTACTTTAAACGTATACTTTGTTTCTTTGTTTTGTTACAGTAATGACTGGGTTAATTTTGACCATAAAATAAAAAAAATAGCAAAAGAAAACTTTTTAATCGAACAATAATACAAAAATACAAAACACATGTACGAGTACCCTTTGTGAAATAACACAAGTGACTATATGTATATGCAAAAACATTTCTGGTACTCGTTGAAATCTATAATTTTATACTTATAATTAAAAACTTACAAGTTGTATATGATAAATAACAGATATCTTTAAAAAATATCTATGTGTTAGTAATATGCAAATCCTCCAACATAATGACATGGTGGTAGTTTTTGTCAACGGTAATCAAACGTCCATCGCTGTTAACTTTTAAGCCGCAGCAACGAGAAACCTACGAAAAATTTTTAACTCACCTTCAATGCACAATTGCAATCAATTAGTTTACTTACTTTAATATATGGGCATCGAAATTCAGTCACGTATGTACCGTTCTTCGTATAAACGGCAACATGAAAGAAATTACCATGGGAATCTCCAATGAAAACATTTCCTTGAGGAGATACATCTATTCCATTAGGGAACATTGTAGTATGTTTACTTGCAAATTTTCGCAAAAGGTTTCCTTCATCGTCTATTACCACCACGCAATGAGCTTTAAAATCACATATGTAAAATTCTTTCCCTAAATACAGACAATCAATTTAAGAGGTTACTTTAAGTCGGTGTTCACGCATACCGACGATAGTGAGATCCGAAGGCTCCTGCATGAACGAAGTACAATCAATAGATCTCAGAAAATCGTTCTGTCCAATTATAAAAACAGTTGGTGTTACGCTGTTAACAACAACAATGTCTTCGTTCGATGTCACTGCAATACCGGCTACAATATCAACATATTGGATATAAATTTTTTTAACAAATTTTCCAGTGTCTGTGAAAATTTGCATTCGGGATCGTTCATAACCACGATCACAAACTACGTAACGTCGCTGTGTTGGCAAAAACGCAACTTTGCGGGGGTGCCAGAGGTAACCATCGTGACGACCAGCTACTCCAAATTGGAATTTGAAAGTACCAGTTTTGTCGAATATCTGCGTCCATTGAGAGAACATAGAAATTAAATTTAATACATTGCAAAAAATTAATCAAATTAGAAGCACTGTTATAAAGAGCCACTGAGTATCTATTAATGATTTATTTAATTCTCGTTACTATGGAAATTTGCAATTTAACACCCTTTGAATTTAACAAGTTTTTACAAAATCAACTGAGTTTACTATATTCATACAAAGAAATTATTATATAATAAAAAACAAGCTTCTAATTTGAAATTACAAAAAAAGATAATTGCCATGTCAAATATGTGTCAATATTCGCGTTCGCAGTTTTACCTGTATTCGGTGGTTGCTGCTATCAGCAACAACAATATCTTCGTCTAAGCCTACACAGAATCCGTGTGGAGAATTAAACATACCCGAACGGTTTCCTTTTTGCCCGAACGTTTTATGAATTTGCATAGTGTTTACGTAATTTGTGTAAGAGGAACTATCGGGATCGGTGGTTGATAGAGAAAGGTCGGGGTTAACATGACAATCCAAGTTGCTAGGTTCGGAGGCAACAAAGGGTATGTTAAAGGACTCGAAAGGAAATACATCTACAAGCAGAAGGAATATTTAGAACAATTAGTACAGCAGCGTTTACAACGTTAGGTATGTACAGGGCTGAAATGCGTAGAATATTTCAATATAGTGTATCTTTACAATATCCATAATTCGGAAATATTGAAAAAAAGGGCACAGAGAAGTGAATGCACAACAGTTGCACGACAAAAAAGTTTGTCTCCGGCGACTTTTGCTTGTTATTAATCCAAAAATAATGTATTTGTTATTAATTTAATTGATTCGGTTGAATGGTCTCATACTCAAACATAGAGCTGATCGTCTCCGTTTTCGAATTTAACCCTAAGTGGAAGAACTAAATATATACATATCGTAGAAACTGTCAATGTTAACTCTACAACGAATTACTTAATTTTATTAGTACATATATGTATAGTATCTTGAACGTACTCGTACAGTTATGGTACTACAAATGTGTATGTTATTGATGCGTAAACGTGCGATGCTACACTCGATCTAGTCACTTCCCTCAAATAATGAATATTACAATTTTTAGCTTTAATCAAGTACTTCAATAGTACTCAAGTACTACAATTTTATACTGCCTAAATTAAATAAAATGAAATTTAAAAGTCAAACCAGGACCACACGCACCTACCTACAAAATCTATCTATAGCGAACTAAATCAACATGAAAATCGCACGTATATGCGGCAATAACAAAAACACAGTAATAGAAAACAGCACGCGTCATGCTACATTGCGAACATAGTTATTCTTATTTTCAAATCGACTTTTAATGAAAAGAGTTCTATTCCCTTTCTCTTTTTGTTAGTTGCTATTAACATACAATAGAGTTAAACTCAGGTATTAACTATTAATTTTTGCTTTTAATTTTACTACTTACAGCAAATACTCCAGACGTCTTATACCTTTTGATCACTTATTACTAGACAGCGGATTTCGTCGGGCTACATCACGATTATAGTTGGGGACGTGCATCGCCGGGAATCAGCAGCGGATGATAATCAGTGAATTTAATCACTTATTCCATAAATACAATTAAAGGAAATTTAATTCGTAAAACAGCTAAGTAAATGAGGACGGGAATTAACAGTAGATTACAACGAAGAAGCGTTACTCTATTCTAAAATTAACGAAGTGCAGCCCGTAGCTGCACTGAATTCTCATCCCGCACGAGCCGTACCAAGTTTGACCTTCCTGGACCCGACGGTCATCCGGTGTAAAAATTTAAACAAACAGAGCCAACTCCGCCACAAAAGCGTAAAAACTGCTGCCAAACCTGACTAATATATTATCTTTTTTATTTGGAGTTTGTTGGTTAACTTCAATGTAGTATGCAGGTGACATATTTGTCACGGTGTCGTCACATCCCCCTGATCCCAAACTTGAAACCTTAGTACCAAATTTGTTAATTCAATCAAAATTACAATCATTGTTTATTCGATTGCTTACACAACCAAATAAAATGTTTACTTAAATTCTTAGTAAGACTTATATCCTGGCAAGGGATTATAAATCACTGCAGCAACAGCCAGTGGGTCGGTTTAAAAACACAATGTCTTAACTCAACAATTTTCAGTGTTTTAAATATGCTGCAATTTTAAAGATAACAAATTAAAATATTTTTACGCATTTCAGTGATATACTGTACAACACAAGAAGTCTAAAAATGATTAACAATAGTGGGGATGATTTTAAGCATATTAAGTTTTTGGAATAATGTGTTATATCATACAAAATTATAAGAAAGAACTCTTAATCAGTTTTATTTTATAAAAAGTCCCCCCTGTTTTGCTGCACTTTGCTCCAAAATCTGTTTTTTTTTTACATCCACGCTACTCCCAAATACAGATCTGATTTTTTCATTTCTTCTATTCGTAATACTATTTAGCTTTCTAGCTTATCTTAGGGCCATTTTTTTTCTTGTTATGTTCACAGATGTTGTATTACACTGTATTCCCATTTTCAGTATTTATTTCTGTAGAGAATAAGTTTTTGAAAGATGTCGTTACTTTTTTCGTTCTTTGTGTTAGATACTAGTTGGTTATATTTCTTCATTTTCCATAAGAATTTTTTTGGGTAAATTTTCTTACGTTTTAGATAATCTTGCCAAGTACGAAGACCGTTTTAGCAACAGTTCATTGCAAATTAGAAACTTTAACTTATCGATTCTAGCAACTCTTGTTTAGCTTATTTAGATATTAAATTTTATGGTTCATTAACCTGCTTATACTTATTATCAATAGTTGGGGATATAAGTGAACTTTTTGTAGACAGTACAGCACTTTAAGCATCGCAAAATCACAAATATCAGTACTTTTAACATCCTATGAGCTGTACAGTACTATACATATTATAAAACACATGTGTAGTCACCATCACTCAATAAATTACTTGGGTATGTAACCCTCTTTGGTAAGTTCACTAGCCTGTGGTTCTCTATTCTAGTCTAGTTCAGTGTTCGGAGATCATTACGTCTCCACTGTTTTTTCCCTTCGAAACACGTGGTTAAGTAATTCCACTGTTACTTTCGTAATAAAGAATTTAACACATCTAACAGTTTATGTAATACAAATGTTAATAAAAAAGTAAATATAATCAATCAAACGATCGTTTTCGCCAATAAGCAGAATTATTACTTTTACAAAAACATCTAGCGCCTACACGTCACTTGAAATTCGATAACCTGGACATAACAAAATACGTATCAGAACTTTCATCAAAAGATGTTGTGTCTTGGATATACAATATGTTGCTGAAGTGCTGATAAAAGCGGAGACCAAATTATGCGTCATTTAGACGTTTTGTTTACGCCGTTGCCATTGAAACCGTGCGTCTAGTCGCTGTATTTAGCTGGAATCGGGTCCTGGTCGAACAGTGACCACTACGAGTAACTTAGTTGCGGGTTTTCATTCTCATTCTGCGCGAGTGAAATTGTTCGATTTTAAATAAAAAGAATGAATTCAGTTGAATATTTAATAAAAAATCGTCCTTTGTCTTACGACGGTAAAATTTTAGTGAAAAATTTATTAAGAAAAAAAGTGTTCATGAGAAAACGAGAGACTTTCATATATATTTTAATAGGCATAACAAGCGTGGTAAAGTTGTTTTGTTTTATGTGTCTCCTCAGTAACGATTTAAATCCAAAAGTATGTGGACTTACTTTTCTTGGATGTATTTTTGTATTTATTTCCGTCTATTAGTTGGTAATAACAGCCTGTTTTATTCATATATCATATTTAACTCATCATCAATGAAATTGTGTCTCCCCATTTCAAAAGGGCAGCCACTGCAGCTACTCAGAAGTAATTTCTTCCTTTAGTGTTTTCCCGTCTGTGACTGGACTTCTCTCTCGTTGCAAGCCCTTCCTTTTAATGTCCTTTTTCAAAACACAAGATTATTCATCTTCAGCATAGTCCTGTTTGCAGACGACTTACCATTTATTTCATTAATATTTTCGTCTTTTTATGTTCGAAATGACTACATCTCATTTTTGAGAAATCAAAAATTGTATTGTTTTTCAGCTGTACATGCGTAATAGATCCTAGTCCATATATACAAGGCGTTTCCCCAATTCTTATCAATGTATAATATGGGAACTTTAGAGTTTTGCAGTTGAAATACAATTAACCTAAACGAGATCTGTTGTATTCAATCTTGAACATAAGACGTTTGATACGCTTTAAAGCTTATGCAATAGCATAATTTTGTTAATAAATTAGCCTAATAACTCTGTGGTTAGAACTTCCTTTTGTAAATAAAATTAAAATTACTCGTTCCGCATCCCAAAAAACGGATATCAAAACATTCCGACGGGACAAATTAAAATTTTCGTGGCAGTAAAAAAGAAGCCAAATATTTCAAGATCAACCCTCGTATTCTGATTTTCGACCAGTAAGCGCAGTTTGCATTGTGAGCGGTAAAATAGTGACTTGAAACTTTAGAGACAAGAAAAAAAAATGCGTATACCTACCGTTATTTATATTCAAAGCTCCGCTCTCATCACTGGATTGTCCTTCGAAGCTAGAGTTAAATTGTTGAGTCCCCGGAACGGAGAAATTATTGTCGAAAAAATCAAATTGCCATTGAGTCGACGAAAAAGTGAAGGAATTATTAGCAGATTCGTCGGTGTAAAACCTTGAAAAATCAAATCCAGAGGCACTGTCATTGTCTTCAAGTAACAGCTTCAAATCAGACAGTTTCACAAGCATGTCGCGAATCATATTATCGATTTTTTTTCTGTGTGAAATAAAAATATCAAAGAGAAAGTTATATTCATTGTCCAGAATGTTAACGGTCTGATCTCTGTGATTTTTTAAAACTTGCTCAAATTCTCGAAAAAGATTATCGACGTGACTGAGAGTCTCCAAGCGACGTCTTCCTATTAATTTCGCAGATCTGCTCAACTCATACGACATTTTCAACAACGTATTGACATATTTAGTGCCTTCTGAAAATTGAGTTTGTAATGCTGCACGCATATTGGCCATCGGATTATCAAAAAGTGATGACGTTGATTCTTCTTCTCCATTTTGAAGAATTTTCGCTAGATGTTCGACGTTGCTGACGTTGGCCAGATTGATGATTCGATGGAAATTAAAGCGTACCATGATTTCGTGAAAAAAATGACATCTCTCACAAAGATAGCGTTTGCACGAGGTGCAGTAAGATTTTGATATTTCTCTTCGACTGCACATAGTGCAGCATGGAACCGTAAAGGTTGAGATGGAACCTGCAGTGTCATTTGATTGCTGAGAATCAGATGAATCTTGAACACTCGACATCTACGGAGAAAAAGTAGAAAAATATGATTAGAAAAATTAGGATGATTATTTTATTGACAGGCATTCTACAAGTCTCATACAAACGATATACAACAACTTAAATAAACATTATATTAAAGGTGTAATAACTTAATAAGCGTAACGAGTTTCTTCTTAGAAAATAGATGTGGCAACATTGGGAAAAAAACGTACAATTAGACAATACGGGGCCTCTTACAAGTATCAAACAACAACCATTCATTGCAATCACTGTTAAATACATTAATAATAATAATTAAATATGTTGTTGCAAAACTACACAAAACATATGTAAGGCCAATCCTGGAGTATTCTAATTTAGTGTGGTATCCAATTTTAGTTAGGGATAGTGATCTGTTAGAAGGCGTTCAGAGGCGTATGACTCGATTACCTTATGGCATTTTGCGACCATCGTATGAACAGAGACTCGTAATCATGAAATGCCCTGCATTGGGTCAAAGAAGAACAAGAGGAGACGCCATTGCAACATTTATTGCACTCATATTAAATGTTCCTCCGACGAACAGCATGTTTACTTTGAATTCTGATGTGCGTACTAGAGGTCATCAGTTCAAGCTCCAGAAAGAAGCGTTTCGCACCAGAACCCGACAGTTTTTCTTCTCGAACCGTATTTTCGACACATGGAACTCTCTCCCATTACAAGTAGTGTGCAGCCCAAGTGTACTTAGTTTCAAGAAAAATTTTGATCATTTTATGAATATGTAAACTATTTCAATTGTAATATTTGTATTTGTTGAATTTAATAAAGTTAAGAACTATTGTTGCTCACGCGGGCATAACAGAGTGTGAGCTCTCTGCTCGAGCGTGCAATAATAATAATAATAATAATAATAATAATGTATGAATGTAATTAGGTTTATACTCCAAGTTTTTGTCCCAATTAAAAAAAAATGTCCAAATTTATTTAGACACAAATTCTCTCGCCCTTGCACAGCATGCCCACTTTTTTTCGAAAAATTATCATATTTCATTTTGAGAAAGTAGTCTGTGAAATACTGTTAAACAAGTACAGCTTCAAAAAATGAAAGAATCTGATATTAGGACTTTTATTTTTTATGGTAACCCTCATGAAGTTAAAAACTTGAGGTGGATTCATAAACCACAAGTTTAGCATTGTTATTTAAAAAAAATATATATATACAGTATGTCCCCGGATTGAGTTCACAAGAGGAAAAAAAAAATGTATTTTCTATTTTACAAAAAAACGACATTGGATAACATTTCTTGCTTAATTCAAAACGAATAAATCTGCAATTAAACTTTTAATATTATCAGGCTGTATCCTTAAAATCGAAAAAAACTAAAAGTAACGAAGAACTTAGAAATATGAAAAAAATAATTTACATTAGAATACAGACCAGGAATATTGAAGTTTTAATTGCAGATATGTTCGTTTTGAATTAAACAAAAAATGTTATTCCTGTAATTTTACCATTTCAGTTAGAATGCACAAAGATATGGCTGTGTTGTTTTTGTATTAATTTGATAAAATTCCATTTGACAACAATGTTTGCCTGATATAAAGCGAAGGTGGATTTCAGTCACCATCGTTACTAAGAAACTAAAAAGTAAGCTGGAGGTATTCACCCATTAGATATGTGCTGTGTTGCCAATTTTACTTTTATAAAATTACGTTTTTTTCGTAATCTACATTATAAAAAAAATTTTTATTATTTTTTTGGGACTCCCGAAACCCCCGTATATAAAGTACTGAAGAGTTAATCCGCCATTTTCCAAACACGCGGTATATATAGCCTGTACTACGCAAAATTTTTCGGTGACGTCGTCAAATTGTTGGTGGGGATGATAAGTCAAATTTTGGTTATCGTTTTACCATCTACAGGATTTTCTAAAATACCAATAAAACTTGATGGAAATCAGTCTAATACTTTCAAAAATTATGTGTCTAATGGGTCTAATGAAATCCACATAAACGAGGGATGGAAACAGGAAACCTATTATTACATATAGCGGGCTCCAGAAAAAACAGAAATGGAATTTTTGTACAATGTAAGATGTACTTGTCCCATACTTGTCAATTTAACAAATCTGTTAAATATTTGTCAACAAAATTTGTGACACAAAATTTTTGCAGTCATTATTGTTCTAACCTGTTTCAGAATAGTCCCGTTTAAACTAGAAAAATTCACACAGTAATCTGTCATGCTAACTTTGACAGTTCCCGTTCTTTCTGGAGCCAACTGTACCCCGGGAGGAGACGCGAAGGAAACAAAAACTTACTCTCGGGAAGTAAAAATCAAAAGAAAATCAGGGTTTTATTTTGTTGGCAATATTATATTATCAGTGTTCAATTTATTTTGATGTAAATTGTATTTAAAAATTAGGTAATATGAATTTTCATAATTTGAAAGAAAAAAAAGAATGATTAAAATCAAATAATTGGTGCAGGAATATGATCGCTTCATTTGAAAGATACTATCTTAATAGATACCTCAATAATTTCAGGTAGTTTCCACACCAACAATTTGTTAAATTTGTCAATTAAAACAATTTTGACCTCTTTTTTAACTGTAAACGAATAATTTCTTTGTGCACGAGAATATTAAATTTTATTTTGCAATTGTAATCCTAGTAGATGCTTAACAACAAAACGTAATCCAATTTGCAGGGATTCTGAAATTAACATAAACAGATTAATTGTAACTTTTGTAACGTCACTAACCCACTTCAGTCACTAATCCTTTCTACCAGCTTGTTTAGTTTCAGTTAAAAAGAAAGTAATTTTAATAAAACTACCAAAATAACAAACATTAAAAACAAACAAAGCAAAAATACACCAAAAAAAAAACGAATTTGTTGCAGTGGTCATCATACAAAATTTGCTACACGTCAAACATACTCTCTGAAGAAGATAATTGCATACTTTCGAAACATCACCAATTCAACCATCCTTCAGAACCCGTCATCGTGTTGATCACTTAAATAAAACTTACTTTGGTAAAGCAAGAAGTTCGAATGTTAGCATTTCATAAAACGAATACAGCATCACCCGGAAACCATCATCGTTTAGGAACCCCATAGCACCTATATGAAAAACATGTGGTCCAACTTGCCGCGACCTTTTCGTTTTGTACGCAAATCCTATACCTATACAAAAATGACGTTTCGATGACATGCTTCACTTGGAATGGCTGGTGCGACACAAAATAAGCGTTGACAAAATTATTTCTTAAAAAATGTAGTAAAACTTAATGCCAGAAATAACACTGACACTTTTTGTTAAATTTCCGTTATTTTTAGTTGTTGAACCAAAACTTTCAAATATCTTCATTCTTCAGTAACTAATATTGTGTAAAATTTTCTTAAAACGAATAACCGTGGCCACATTCTGCTTTCCGGTTATTTAAAAATTTACGAACGATTTATGCATTTTATAAAACCGAAAATGCGACCATAACAAGGCGGAAACATATTTATGACCACAGTCATGGTAAGAAATCACTACAGAATTTTTGGCAAGTTTACGGCACTAATGGTTGTATCAAACCTTTTCGACGAAAATATTTTGCGAATAACGTTGATGAATTTCAACCACGTACCTAATTACCTACGTGTAGTTTTCAAAATTAAATCAGCCATATTGAACATACTCGCAATGAACAAGTAAAACATGCCACTAGTGACGTCATACCCCGATCATTGCCAACTTCGCAAATGTTAACACTGCATCCAAAAAGTAAAGTCTAGATTATAAATGTATAAAAGTGACGCAATTAATCATAAAAGCAGAATTTACAACACGTATAGATTATAGGATAAGCAATCAATCACTTAAACTGGTCAAGCGCAATCATCAAAGCCGACCCAGTCACCATGTTATTAAATGAAAACTTACCTTTGACTTTACCGACTTTAATTACATCTCCATGAATGACTGATAACAGAACGATTGATAGGTGCTTTAACTATGATTAATTATGTGATTAAAGCCGATAAAACACTACACAAAAACCTAAAATGAGGCAAAACTCACCGGGAACAGTGAACGCTAACGCACAGTAGGCACAGTAGGTGGTGGCGAATGACGAAAATGGTGTAGATGGCGCTTGCGCGGACGCGGCAAAATTTTAAATCTGACTGGTGTCGATTAAAATGGAATCTGAAAAGCATTTGAAAACATGTATGTCCTCTCAGTTGTAGGTAAGAAGTTAAAAAGTGCCGGTATTTATAAAACGACAAACTTATAAATAATATAAATAATAAAAAGAACACGGTTTTACGCTAGCATCAAAAACTAGGAAGTGTCTAGAGTAAATCTATCCACGTGGATTTAAAAAAAAAATGTTCGAAAGTTATTTCAACAGAATTTGGACTGCTAAAGTACAGGTAAAGGAGCATGCTATGCGTGTTTCAAGTGAGTTTTTCTGTAACAAAATTTTGTGGTGACGTTATCATTTTATCAAGGACACGCATATTAATTTGAATAGGTGCAGTGTAATACAAATAATAATAGGACTGATGTATATTCCAATTTTCGAAAAAAACGGGGTGAGCCATTCTTGATTTATTCATTTATTTGTTTGAGTCAACGTCAACGTGTACAAGTAATTCAAAAAAATTGGTCGAAGGTATTTCGACAGAACTTCCCTCGTCCCTGAAGTACAATGACACATATCCAGATTTTTCGAAAAATTATACAATTAGATTTTGCGAATTTTATTTTTTTATGAGAACCCCAAGCTAAAATAAAGATATGTATATATGTTAAAGTAAATGTAAAGAAGCGTGATCCGCGTATTTCTCAAATGAGTTATTCCTTTAGAGAATTTTTTCATAATGTCATCAACATTTTGCAAGAACATGGATAGGTGCTGAGTAAAACTAATATACGAGTACTGTATTCCCAAATTTTCAGGAATATGGAGTTCCTGATTTAATCAATAAAACAAATTGAGTAATTCATTAATTCTTTTTAATCACCCTGTATAACTAATTCTAAAAAATAAGAATACAGTCATAAATCACAAGTATAAACTCATCATATTGTGCACATTTTCGACAGGATTTATTCGACAAAATTTTGAGATGACGTCATCAATTTTTGGGAGGAGATAAATAGCTATATTTTGATTACAAATTTACCATACTTATGATAACTTTAAACAGTCTGCAAGATTTCAAAGCATTCGGTCTACAGTTTCTGATTTAAACAACAAAATAAATTGACTTATTCATTAATTTTACTTCCCGAGCGTAAGCTATAAGGAAGTATTGTAATCGAGTCCAAAGGACGAATGGTTACTTTCACAATTTTCTTTACGTGTTATGTCTAGAGTTGTAAAAAACGGTTTTTAATAAAGTCTGTTTGTTTTTATATTTTAAAGAACGTTTTTTTTTGTTTTTTACGTTTTTTTTTTTGTTCTTTATAAGTTTACAAAGTTCTAATTGACCCATCCATAAATACAAACCCTTCTTTTGAAAATTGTACCAATTTTAATAAGAATAGTTAAAATTGCCATTGGAAAAAGCAAAAATATTTTCATTTTATAATGGCGCCATCTGTTAATAGCCTATAGAAAAAAAATATTTTAATAAATAAATACACACGTTTTGTCAATGTGATTTTACTTTGTAGTTTTTCTAACTGCTTGATCTGAAACATATTTGTCATCAAATCAGGATGAAATGCACTGATGCTGCAGCCGCATGCGCAATGATAATAATAGTTCACAATAAATATATGTATAATATATATTAGTTGTATTACAAATAGACGATGACTTATTTATTAGAAAAAAAAAACAAAAATTCATAAAAACTTACGGGAATAAAAGAAAGAAAAAAAAAGGAAAGGCACTTGAACTTGTCAGTCTTTACAGTCCTTACTAGTCATTACTTTACTCTTTCATTATCGACTTATACGTGACAATGTTAGGCAGTTCTAATTTTTCTACAACCCAAGAACGGACGCATCAACCAGCCTGTCAACGGGAGCTATTTATTATTATTAATAATAGATAAAAAAAAAATGTTTGATAATTTATATCAGTTTTTTAAATTGTTCAAAAAACAACAAAACTTATCCTATGTTTAAAAACAAAAAAAAAAAACGTGGTTTAAAAACAAAAAAAACAAACGGTTTTTTTCCATTCACATTACTAGTTACTTATGCGATGACGTGACTCCAAAATTGTACATACTAAATAGGTATTATATTTTATAAAATAACATACTGCTACACATGTAGTTTATGAAGCCGTGCTGATTTTTTATGCGACACATCCAGATTTTTGTAAAAAAAATCAAAGTGATATAACAACATTTTGCAGTTTAATTGTGGAACCGCAAAATCAAATGCTCTGAAATCTCGTGGACGTTTTAAAGTCATCGTAAGCATTTTAACCAAAATATGTTTGTTTATCCCCCAAATAAATCCTTTCTAAAATATGCAAAATGATTAGAAAATTAGCCTACAACAATCAGTCCGTTAGTTTAGAAGAAGATATTGATCTAATAAAAATCGACACAGACGCGGCTGACGGTAAACGGCAGACCGCAGACGGCAGATAGATAGACGGAAAATATTCTAGGGGTCATGAAACGATAAGGAAACATAAAAGTAGGCAGTCGCCCAATGGACTCGATTTAACTGCTTTCTTAGCTAACGCTGGGAAAGTAAAAATATAAATGCATTCATAAACTACAAATATAGATTCATAATATTTTATATACTGTAGATAGGATTTATTCAGCAAAATTTTGAAATGACATATTCAATTTTTTGGAAGTGGAAAAACGAAAAAATTTTAATTAACCTTACATCTTACACCTTACAATGCTTTCAAGATTTCGGAGCATTCGGTTTAATAGTTTCGAAGCTAAATTGCAAAATGTTATACAATTTTGATTTTTCTTTTCAAATATCTGAATGCATATAGTAAAAACTCAACGCGGATTGATAAACCGCAAGTGCAGGAATATTTTATTCTATAAAATTTAAATAGCAGGGGCGGCTCATGACTTGAAAAGTTGATGAGGCAAACACAAAACGCTCCAAAATATAAATAATGCAAGATTACTTAAATATTTTCTACTTAGTCAAATAAACAAATTTGTAAACTCATTTAACTGTCCACCAAGGACCAACGTGAAGGTGTAAGGAACTCTTGCAAGGAAAGGATGGGAATGATAGGACAAAAGGAAAGGGAAACGTGGTCAGAAAAAACTAATATAACTTCTAACAAAAACAAAATTAAAATAAACTTTAAAGAAAACATATAGAAAAAAATCAAATACAACATAAAATAAATTCAATTTATAACAAAAAACAAAACGAAAAAAATATAAAATATAAATACTCTGGATTTATTTAAAAAAAAATTTATAGAACAATTAACGATTTACTCAAATCTGGAACTGGCCCTTTTAATTCCTTAACTACATACAATTTATCATCATACGTGAGAGTAGAAAAAACAACTGCCATTGTCATTTAACGTTAGTAGAGAAAAATTCCGATTTACTCGTAATCTTAAATAACGATTACCGAAATCAAATTATGACAAGCACAAAGCACTAACGCGACACACGCAAACGTAGGCACTTTTACGAAAAAATTCTGGTACCGAAATTTTGAATGAAGTTATACACACAGGGATTTGTGGCAAAACAATCAACGGCCTAATTTTGAATATTTCTGCCAATGCAGACTGCATTGTAATCGCACGTTCTCCGCGCGCAAATATTGTTGTCCATCTCTTTTGCAAGCACGGAAATGAGGCTAGCCTCAATTTTGTCTTTTTTCAACTCATACCGCTTATGAGTGTATTGCAGGTTGCTTGCCTTTTAACGATATCATTTCTGGATGTGCTGTAGAGGCAAGCTTCGAGTCTGCCTCATTCGCGTCACAAAATACATGTTGTGTTGAGTGTTGAAGCGCGCTGTTTAATTAAGGGAGCAACGAGTACCCTACCGAGATAAAAATAAGAATATAATTTTCCATATTTGTTTGTAAAATTTTAGAAAAAAGACACAAATTATTGGCCGAAATGTGACGGTAAAAAATAATAAAAATCCTAAAAATGCCTAAAATTCATTGGTGAGGCACTGCCTCACCTGCCTCATAGGACAAGCCGCCCCTGTTAAATAGGCAGTAATATTTACCATTGTGTGACGAGCCGTCACTAAATTCGTTCACGAGAAAATTGTAACTAAAAAGACTAATAACAAACCCTCAAAACATAACTAGAAAATTTGCAAATCTTAATTAATTAACACGCATGTTCTAATCGGCATATAGTATCATTCAAATAGATAAACAAAATCAACCATCAATCCCCAAATGCAGGAACAAAATTCGCGTATTCGCAAATTGCGAATAACATTGCGCTTGCCAGACATTGCAAATAACTTGTACAAAATAATACGCCAGAAACATCGCCAATCGCAATTACTTTCATCTAAAATTGTATCCAAACTAAAACAGCTGCAAACAAAACCCAGACACATAAACAACCTCAGAAAAAACGCCCTTTTTAAAAATAGCTACAACAAGCTAACCACATGTAGCGATGACGACATGAAAAGCATGACGCAAGTTGAAAAAACCCGAAAATATACGACACACTAACCAATAAAAAACGTCAGTCGCGGAACCATAATTAAAAGCTAAACCCTATAACACAACGAAATAAAACCTAAAATCCCGTACCGAGTAATACACTAATCATGAAGAAATATAGTCCACTAAAGTCACGGTAGACAAGAATAATGAGTAAAAATCCCTATATAAGCAGTAGCGCCGAAAACGGTTTAAGAGAGTAGAAGTAGAAGTTTCCAGTTGCCGCCGAAGGCTCTGCCCAAACCGGTGTCGAGATTTTTATTAATTTTTGCTGAATTTTGAAGAAATCCGAACTTAGAAGAATTTGCTGAGCCCGAGAGGAAGATAGAAAAATTCTCAATGCTGCAGCTGTGTAAGTCTACCTTTTAGTCATTCTTAGTTTATCTTGCTTTCCGTTTTTTCGTCATGTGTTCTCGAGTTCGAATCGTACATGTGTAGCGTTTAATTTATGCGTTTTCTCCGTTACGTTGGGTGTGAACAGTTAGCGCCGGCACCGAAAGTAATCTTTAGTGCTTCCATATGTTCCCGTTTGCAGGTGGCACGTTTAGCCTTGCGTCGGTTCTTGATTATTGGGGAGGTT